GGTTTGATTGGGGGGCATTTTGATTAAAGCGCCTCTTTAAACAAACAGCGGTACCACGTAAATACCCGGGTTTTTACCTCAGAAAAACTCGAAAAGGGGAAGTTATGAGATCATTGCAAACCCCCGGCTTTGCTTCGAACTTTTCTTGTTGTGAATCATTTGACTGTCAGGTTGACTGCTTCAAAAATCGCTTGCGTTGTCACGTGCCTTTTTTAATAGTTACAAAATTTAAATAAGTGAGGGGGGTTGTAAAATGATGTCAATCAAGGACCGCTTGGTCATTTTCTTCTCCCAACAAAAGGGAATGACTGATCATTCAAAAATCATTGATGTCATTTATTTTAATTGTCTTGCGATTGTCTGAATTTAAATAAGTCTTATATAAAAGAGACCGTTTGTAATTTGATAACTGGCTTGTACGATTGAGTTTTTTTTTTTTTTTAAAAAAAATTTCTTTTTTTTAAATAAAGAAAGTAAAAAAATTTTCACATTAATTAATTCTTTCCCTACAACCTTTTTTCTACAATTTTTTTTCTTTTTGAACAAACGCTTCCTTTTCCCTTCAACCATTTTTTTTCAACAATCTTTTTTTCTTCTTTTTCCTTATCCTTTTTCAAAGACATGCCAACCGAAATTTGGAATGATCTTGATACTATTATCACCACCACCACCTATCGAAAACTTTCACAAAAATCCGTACTGATAATCGCGTATGATGAACAAGATTTGATCGAATTTCAAACGTACCTCAACGATAATGTCAAATTCCAATCAAAGAATTTCATTATCAAAGGATTCATCAAGGAAAAGTATCTATGGCCACGTATCTTCAATCATAATTATGGTTACAGATATGGTCACAGGAACGAAGGGCGTCACTCTCGATTTCAACTCGTTTCCCAATTAACCACAATCCTGCAAGGTAACGAATCAGACACGCGCGTGCTTTTTGAAATCATTTTGGCGGATATCTCAAAGGGTTTTTAATTTTTATATTTTGTTTTTTTTTAAAAAAAAAAAAAAAAGGTGTCGACATAGTCGTCAGCATGATTGGAAGTAATTATGAACATCAGAAAATAATTATTCAATGTTGCGTTGAGGCCCAAATTCCTCGATTTATTGCGTGGGAATTTGGGGTAAACTTGCAATCGCCGTAAGTCATCCTTCTTATAAATATAAATATATATATATAACTGTCATCTGATATAGGTTTCGTTGTGATTTTTACTAGGATATTGAATTATGATATGAGCGCGTTAGAGGGTCATGAATTGGATGAAGAATTGGATAACACGCCAAAAAGATTCAAGTACACTTTGTTGCAAACGGGTTATCTTTCAAATGAAATACTTTCAAGTCAGATGGGATTTCATCTTCAAGATAAAATGATGACGATTTATGGTAAAGGGATCGAACCGCTCAATTTAACCTTCAAACAAGATCTAATGAGGTTGCTGTGCAACATGATCTGCAATGACGATAGACATGAATTGTTTAGAAAAAAGATCGTTATAGGCAAACGAACGAGCCAATTGCAAATCTACGAGGAAATTAAGAAGGTCACGAAGGTTGAATTTAAGATCGTCCGATACGGTTTGCAGGACATTCCTTATGATCAACAATTTCAAAGGTTACTCGCCGTTGGCAGGTTGAAGGCTTTCGTCGGTAGAAACACTGAGGTTCGTAGGTACTTTCCTGATTTTGAACCCATGGATATCTCCAAATGGATAGAAACTCAATCGGACCTTTCAAAATCGTATCACATCATCCCATGATATCACACGTATCTAATCACCTAAAAAGGATCATCCTTTTGATAATCGGCGGGTAAAGTTTGTAAACATCAAATATTTATCAACCCTGCATATCTTATTATTACGTCGGTAGATCTTTGCTCAATGTAAATTGTAATGCAAACTAATATACACGATACATATTTCACAACGTATAAATTATTTTATACTTGTATATCTATGTAATGCGAACGAATGTCTACATCATTATTTGTTATAATTTTTAAGCTTATTCGCCGAGTACCAATCATTGATGTGATAATCTTCATTCAAATAAGTTTTTACATTAATTACATTAATAAAAAAAAAAAAAAAACTTTATTATATTGTGTATGCTTGTGTGACTCATTTTGGCTTCATCTCACATCATTGGTGACTCGTAACCACAAATGTTGTGCACATTTGGGATGAAAATTCGAAAAAAAAAAAAGAGAGACCTTTTCCTCGTAAAGTTTCACCAATTGAAACCCATATGTATATATTTTTATTTTATTTTGTGCGTACAAGATAAAATACATGTCTGCTTTGTAAACAAACGCGTCCGTCGTGTTCTAAGCACATGTTTTCGAAATAATTCGCTGTGATACGTGTTGAGTTACATTAAAAACATGATATATTTGTTTGATACAATTGATCCTTTATTAACCCAGTTCTTTCCAGCTTTTTCAAATTTGTTGATAAATGGTATTATTAATGATGATTTCATCGGTGATTGATGTTTCATTCGGTGAATACCGATATCACACACCAATTCTCAATTAGTTTCATGTTAACTAAACTTGTCAATCAGAAAAGGAAAAAGGAAGAAAAGATTTCACCAATATCAAAACGCCAAAAGGACGTAACCGTCACCTGAAACAGAAAAAAAAAAAAAAAGCACATGTAGGGATTCTTGTTTGTTTATTTAATATTTGCTCATATGCGTCGAGTTATTATTATTATTTTTTTTTTTTTGTCTTTCCTATCGTATAACAATATAATCAAATATAATCAAATATACAGAGATCCCGAAAAAAACGGCAAAAAATAAAAAAATTTGAATATACAGTATGTCTGGTGAGCAAATCCGATCGTCAATGTTGGCTGGGAATCTACGACTCGTGACCCCCAACAAGGCATTTTTTTTTTCTTTAACAAGTCCAAAAAAAGAAAAAGATCCCGGAAAATTTTGAAGAGAAAGACGGAATTTTTTTTGTAACGATAAACAACACCTATATCAGTAGCTGCATCAGGGAACGTACATACAGTGTTTTTGAAATCAGATCGCAATAGAAAAATAATTTCTTCCAATGCGAACAAATGGTTATCAATAAAAGTAAATATCCGTAGTTTGAGGGTCCCTGATTATATACCATTTTAAACATGTATAACATTACGCTTTACCTCTGTTAACATGTCACAAATTTAAGAGACAAGTTTATACCGCTTATCAATTCACTTTACATGTTTTGACCTTCCTGCATAAATAAATAATAAATATTTTTTCTTCTTCTCTCGTATGCGTGATTGACACCTCATCAACAACAACTAACCACTTGATGAATAACCAACCACAAGCACTCACGCTCCCATGAATTCAAAAAAAAAAAAAAATCCTTTTCGCGTTTCCTTTTTTTTTTCTTAATAAAAGATATTGTAACTCTATAATAAAATTTATTTTTGGTAAGCAATAAAAACAAACATTGATTTGCATCAATCCCCCCTTGGCATGAGCGATCGACATTAAACGATTTCTTTTTTATGTACGGCCGACGAATGCCGAAACTTTAAAAATAAAATGGTCATTGATGGTCGGTGGGTAAAAGAGGTGTCACCCAATAATGTATCGATTTATTTAATCAATTGATGGACAATTTTGGGATGCATAAAAACCCCTGGACCCCTCAGATTTCCTTGATTGTCTATGGAAACGTTTCTCCTAATCTTTACAAGGAAAATAATATATATTTGTGTCAAACCATGCTTGCCAAAACTTTTCCTCAATAATTTAAAAAAATGTATGTCACGTGATTGCCACGCTGTGATTCGAACGAGGGGTGACTCTAATAATTGCTTTTACGCGATTGTTTAAGGGTGTGATTTAACCATTTTTGTGATCACACATTACATTTGAAAACAGGAATTTCACCCGAATGTTATGTTGATGTCAATGATAGAAACTCGGCATGTCTTTCTGTTGTACGAAATTTATCTTGGCTATGAAACGTGAAACGAAAAAAAAAAAATGTTTAAGGTTTTAACTTAATATGACCTTAAATAAAAAATGAAAAAAAAAAAACCTAAGGATCATCGTATCAGAAGAACTTTGCCATCCTTAAAAAAAAAAAAAAATTCTGAGAATTCACCCTCTCAAGTTGGATAGATTTGATATTATTGGGTGGATTTCCTCTTTGGGTTCATTTCTTTATCGGTCTGATTCGATTCGTTCCATTTGTTTTGTTTTGCTTTCTTTATTAAGCTTGGGGAAAAAAAAAACCTTTTCGCCTTAATTTAATTAAATTACTTTTTTTTTTTTGTTCAAATGTAAAACAATAATAATGTTTTTTTCTTTTTCCAATGCAAGGAATTATTTTTTATATAAATAAAATATAAATAATGATTTATTTTAAATGTAAGAAAATTTATTAAAAGATGTGGCACACTTGATCACGTGATCCTTTAAGAAGCGCCGGATTTTTGACACTTCGAAGTCTTCAACACCGAAAAAAAAGGCATGAAAAAAATACTCGTTCGAGAACTCAACCAAAATCTCGAAAAAATTTTTTTTGCCTTCTTTTTACAATTTGTACGTACTTATTACCCTCCTCACAACATTGTTGTTTATCATAAGTCGAATTACTACGCTTTTTCATTGAATCATGATAAAATTTCGTTTACGCGGAAAATAACAATGTTTAATAATATACAATGATTTTTTCTTTTGTAAAAAAAAAAAATAAAATAAAATAATATACATTAAATGTCCGATTTTTTTTTTTTTTCTAGCAATTTTTCAAAAGTCCTACCGATAGCAAAAATTCTTTTTTTTTTTTAAGATCTAATTGATTTAAAACCTCCAACAAGATCCCATATAAACGACACAGCATACGTAAAAAAAGCCAAAACTGTGAAAAATATGGCAGTGTTGTAAAAATCACACCTAAAGTAAAGATTATTTAATTATAATTATTAATTTTTTTTTTTTTTAGGAAAAAAAAACCTTTGATTTCACACTTGTAATTTAAATGTTGTAACATACCATCCATTCAACTTTCCAGGAGAGCATCGAAAATCTTTAATTAGAAATACCATTAAAGTGCCAAAACTTACCCCAAGTACGATATCGACAAGCAATAATGACCATCTTGGTGCCTTATTTTTATGACGCCAACGACGCAGACAATAAAATACCAAATGACTGAATGAATAAATAATCGAAACGATTGAAACGATGTGAAGGAAAATGATTGCTGTGTTATTGGCTGTACTCGGCGTTGATACATGAGAAGCCTATGGGAATAAAAATATATATATAGTTAATTGATTTTCTAGAAATTCCCGTTCCCAAAGAAGGTACTTACGACGGGAGCTCCAATGATAAACGCCAAGGCGCCAACGCTAGCAATAAATTGAATAAACCTAGATAAAAGTCTCCATTTATTAGGAGTGCCATTCAAAGATGCTTTAATTGTACCGTTGGAAATATTCAATTTGTCAGGATCATGAGTTTCTATTCCAGGATTGGCAGCCGTGACAGAACCATCCAATTCGGTAGTATTTTCATCATACGAGTCTTCTCGTTCACTTTTAACATGACCGTCATGCTCAGAAGCATCAACACCATGATTAACATTTGTATTACTGTATTCATTAGGATTAGGATTATATGCATTTGTGCTATAAGCATTGGTATCATAAGTTGGTGCATAGGCGTTCTGATTATAAGCAGAATTGGAATAACCGTAAGGAGATGAATTATTTATGTTATAATTTACAGACGGGGTTGGCATTTGCATGGTGTATGTAGAATAATTGGACTGATCCGAAGTATTATAACTGTGTCCATATGAAGATGATGTGTTATCATAAGCATTAACATGTCCTTGCTGTGGAGGACTTTGATAAGGTTGTTCGTTCGTTGTGCCTGCCCAAGGATTACCTTCCGCTGGGTTTATAGGAAATGGATTTGGTTGATATACGCTGGCTGGAAGGTGAGGAGGCGTAGAACCCTCCGTATTAAATGGATTGGTATCTTTCCTTTCGGTCATTATAAGTTAAATTTCTTCTTTTTAGTGATAATTAATTTTACCAAGAACACCTTGAAATTTTATTCCACAACTGATTGACAAAGGTTTCCTTTTGAAACAAAAAAAAAAATTTGGCGTAACAAAATCGGTTCGGTTTTACCAAATGAGGTACTATTTATACAATCAAAAATCCGTATCACGTGGATATTTGGCTAAAAATGTGCCATACTATATATTTCTCGGCAAAATTACTATAAATCTTGGCGAATTGTTTTGGGCTAAAACATAAAATCGTAAATATTATTCCTTTTAAATCAAAAGTCAAATTATAATTACAAAACGCCACACTAAATAGAATTGTCATACTCCGAGTCTAAATGAAATATCCTATATTGTCTTCAATTATTTGGTGTTACATTTCAAGAGTGAAGCTGCGGAAGAATCGACAGATTTGGTTTACATATCGAGATCGTTTTAAAAGATTAGAGAAATAAAATAATTCAAGAATATAAATTTAAATTTTAAACAAATTCTGATTCGTGTAATAACCGATCATCCAATTTTTTTTATTTATACGGCTATTTTTTTTTACCACTTACACATATCGAAAAAAAAATGAAGTACATTAATGAAAAACACAACGAATGAGGCCTTTCTTAGATGTGATGTAATTAGTAAATCAGGAGAAATTTTCTCGTGATCCAGTTTAAAATTTCGATATTTGCCCAATTCAGGGTCTAATTGGGGATAAAAAAAAATCCTCAGAGAAGATCATTGCAATGTCAGAAATTTTAAACGTGAGAGGTTATCGCGAATTGTAACTTTCTCAGTATGCGCAAATGGATTGGTTTATTGACGATGAATGTAAACAATTGAAACCTGCAGAGTAATGATAAAATTAAAAACACGAAAAGTTCACCTTTACAAATATCATGATTTATTGTAATAATAAATAATTATCATGCATCTTTGACTCGAAGGGGAATGTTTCAGATTTTTTGGGTCTAGTCAGAGTCGGTGAGATTCATCATATTATTATTGGTATGATCAAAAATTGATTATCCGTCCAGTTGTCGGGTAAATATGGACCGATGTTTATTGAACCCGTTCTGTAGGAAGTAGATCGAACGGTTGTATATCTTATCAAGTCGTATAAAGATAATTTAACTACCTTTGTTCCAGTGGCAACGCAACGAAGATTGTTTAGTCACGTGCTTTAACAAAAAACAATTGTTCTTTTTATGATCAATCCGAGTCATCATCATCATTATCGACTTCTTCATCGTCATCATCATCATCATCTTCTTCTTCTTCTTCTTCTTCAAAATCATAATCATCATCTTCGTCATAATCATAATCATCAATATTGCAAATGATATGTTCTTCATCATCAGTAGAATCATCATCTTCACTATCGCTTGTTGTATAATCAGATTCATAAATGATTTTATTAACAAAACCACCATTATACCATGCCCTATCATCAACTAATCTGTTACATTCTTCGTCAGAAAAAGAATAATTTTCTTTAAACCATCTCTTGAAATAATCATCAGAAATCAACCATTCTTCCTTCATTTCAATATTAAAGTAATCGTGTATTCTTCTAAGAGCATCAATGGTACACCAAATCCTATCGAAATTTTCGATGATGGTATCAAAGAATAAAATTCTTATCTCATCCTTTTTAAATTGAGGGTACCTTTTTATGATCTGATTATCAAAATGTTCTTGTAACAGAAGATTTTCACTCGTTTTCTCTTCCGAATATTTATATTCTTGACGATTTATGATGATGTGAGGATATTTATTAAAGAGGTAATCTTTGGGTAAAAATCCCGTATGTTTCCATTCAAGGAATCCCGTGATCCGAACTTTCCCATCAACTTTATCAATTAGAATTTTACTCGGATCCTCTAATAATGGTGGACATAATACGAAGGAATTAAAATCATAATTCGGATCATCCTTCCAATAGGTGTGAAAATTTTCCAACATTTTTTCTTGTATCGGAACCCATAATTCTTTACATTCATCTCCCCAATCACATTTATTATACAAAATTATTTCTAGTTCGATCGCGGCATTTAAAAACTCTTTTGTTGAATGAAATGGACCACGATTAACCTCGTCTTTAAAGGATGATCTACCAAGGTTAACATAATTATCGATGACCAACTTTCCGATTTGATAGTTTTCCTCATCTAAATACAAGCTCCCGATCTGATCTTGTCTAACTTCACCAAGGGAACCTAAAATGTCAAGGTAATGATTTATGAACTCACATTTCTGTTCAAAGGTTAACGTACTCCATTCTTGATCGAGATTATTTCCGAATAATTTTTTAACGATCATGAAAGGTGCCCCTATTTCATTCTCCTTTTCAAGATTCCAATGATAAACCCTTGGTACCGGAATGTTTGTATATTTATCGAGGTAATTTATGGTACCGATTTCACTCCGCATCATATCGATTAACAAATCTTTTGGATATTTATCAATGATTGAAAGTGTCGGGTTAATCACATATAAGATGTATTCTCCTCCGTCTTCCAATTCTATCAAGAAGGGTATTCGATATCCGGAATCTTGTTCAATCAATTCAACTTTTACGCACGTTTTATTGAAAATTTGAGATATCTTTTGTATAATAACGTCAAGATTTGGTTTGAAACCTTTATCATTTTCGATATCTGGTAGGTTTAATGAAGAAAGTCCTACGAACGGACTGTCTGATTCTGACATCACGGGCAAGATGTTTTTGGGCAAAGTAAGGGAAGAGGATTTTGGGGGCTTGGACTGTGAGAAAAAAAAAAAGGTGCAGTCGATCCTGTAACACGTCCATCAAATTACACAATACCCAAATTACTTTTTCGAATTTCCTTGTCACAACTTCTAACCACAAGCGGTTGAAACCGGTTGTTTATCTATTGCTCGAAGGGAAAAAAAAAAAAGGTCATGGGCGCTTTTTTTTCACACATCTATAAAAAAAAAAAAAAAAAAAGATATAACTTATTCGGAATTTTGATTTTTTTAATCTCTATTGATTCAATTATAAAGGTTTGGGGGAAATAATATTACTTTTAATGAATACTTGTAATCATTGATAATGTTAATATGGTACCTTGTGACGCAGGTTGGTCATTAAATAAAAAAAAAAAAAACTCTTATGGTCAAGACCATTTGTAGACTGGGTAAAAGAGACCCGACCTTTTTTTATCTTGAAGGGTTCACATGAAGATTAAATAAATCTTCTTTAAATCCGTATTAGCGTAATGAAACAAAAGAGAAAAAAAAAAAAACTTAATATTTCAAACAGGTTTAAACACTCACATTAAATAAAACAATATTGAAAAATACCATTGTTTCATTCACTTTACTAAAAGAAACCTTTTCAATGAGTTTGATAACGGATATTCACTGGAAAATCTTCAAACCTTTTTTCCCTTTCGGAAAAATCCTTTTTAAATAATGATACCAAATAGTTATTAAATCAAAGAGATGATTTTAACTACAATGAATGAGACATGATATATTCACATTCTCTTACATAATTTAACCAATTCGCCATTAAAATGAGGATTTTTTTTTTTTAAAAAATAAAATAAAAATTGATTGGTCAGAGAGAAAGAACGATGATAATGACACGGCGATGTCCATAAACGTTTGCTAACGTTCAGAAATAATAAAAAAAAAAAAAATTTTTTTTTTTAGCCCTCTTACATTGATTGACACAAACAAAAAATTATAAATCACTTGGTATATATGCACAAAAAAAATTAGGTAAAATCTTCTTAACCTAAAAAAAGGGGGGGGCATGCATCCTTTTGAATCTGCTAGAACCTTTCACGGCATACGTCAATTAAATCATCAAAGGGTAAACCACCATTGCACGGCTGATAATTTAGCCAAAAATGTTCGGTAAAAGATGGCTTACAACGAGAATAAACAAAATAAGTTATGATACAAAATATGATTCGTACTTTTCATGAACCATTTTGTTAATAAATGAAGGATCCATTAAATAAATGGTCAACCAATCTACTTTTTTCAAATCCGGAACCCAATCGTTATTCCGGAGCCGCCACCTATCAGAACGTTCTAGCATATCGTATTTCATATCACCTTATATAGAATCGAATTTCTGATTGTCTCTCAATGAGAGTGGAACATGTGCACTGTGGAAAAATTAATTTTAATTTTTTCCAGTCATTTTAACTATTTAATTAACGATTGTTTTCCAATGACATTATTCGTTAGGGTCAATCATAAGGGTTTTGGAATAAGTCATGTGAAACATAATGACAAATCCCTTTGAAGATACCAAAACTTAAAAGGAACACTATTTTCATTGATATATGAATATAAATGCGTTCAATTTGAATTGTGATTTTCACTTTGTTGTTCAGGCACTGCGTAATTGTTTGGGAAAATTTACGTAAAGGGATTCCCAAACTGGAACATAATCAATGTGTATTTTTTTTTTTTTTTTTTTTTTGATCCTATTTGACAACAAAAAAATATTTTTGAATCTAATCAATCTATCAAAGGAAAACCCCAGATAAAACCCGTGCATTAAATAGGATATTCAACAAGAATAGCCCACGTGCAATTCTTCGGAATTCCGTGGAATTGTGGAATTTCGGAATTTCTGTAAGGATCTCCGATCCCGGGACATTACACAATAGCATTTATAGTTTAATAAAAAATCCCTTGATAATTTTACAAAAGTGCTTGTTACGTAATTTGGTAATTCCGTAGATGATGAGCGAACTTCCCCTCACGATAATCATACATCAAAGAAATTATTTAATATAACCATATATACACGTCAATAACGTATTATTGAAAATAACTCGTTTTTTTTATGCAACTTAAAACCCCCACTTTTTTTTTTTGGAGTTTAATGACGTCACAACAAATTTCACTGATTCATAAAAGCGTTCATGGTTTCTCATTTTTTCAGCAAATCTTTTTTTGGTTACGGATTGATTATCTTCTTACAACAAACCAAACGCTTTATACGTCACAAAAAAAAAAAAAGGGTTTGCTAAGGAAAATGAAAATCCATTTTTTTTTGTACATTTATAGATTCTACAGTAAATAAAGTTATCAATTTATTTGTATAAACAGAAATTTTTAATTTCTTTGAAAAGATGTCACACCATAAAATTATAACAATACGACAAATACGCGCATACATACTGTACATATACATACACATTATGTATTTATAATAAAAATATATTTTTTTTTAGTTCGGAACAAACATTTTTTTTTTTTTATTTATTAGAGTAGAAACAAAAAAATGATAAAGTACAGCATTAATATTTTGCTAAATCAAGTAGATAAATATACCAGTTTACAAGTTTACAACGTGACTTTTTTTTACAGTTCTAAAAAATGTGATCTAAGCTATTTAAGTACCATTAAAAAAATTTGTATAAATTTAATAGGGTTTTCCTTTCACTCACTTTGTCCTCACGACTTCGCCGAAAAAAAAAAAAAAAATTAATAATTCCTTTTTTTTTAAAAAAAAATAAAAATAATAATAATAATAAAGACCGCTTCGTAACAAAAAAAAAAATTTTTTAATATTCGCTTTTTCACCATGTCAACGACAATGACAACTACAACCACCACAACAAACGAGCGGCTACTGCCTGCGCGAAATATACAGATACAACCAACTTCTCTGCCTCCACAACAGCAACAGCAAGCGGCACACACTTTCTCATGGACATTACGAGGTTTCAATGAACTTCATCGACAGATGTCCCCGTCAAATTTCGCCTATTCGGATCGTTTTCATTCCCCTAGGGGAACTCATGATCCTTCACTGTTATACCCTCCGGGTTGGTCCGATTTTGCCTCGGTATTTCCCTCACAGCAATCTCAATTCAATTGTTTTGATGATACGGCCTATCTCTGGAGAATTCGTTTATATCCAAATGGTAGTTTGAAGAAACTACCATCACACATTTCAATTTATCTTGAAGCCATACAAACTTTATTTGAAAAACAACGTTACATTACTAAAAGATCCGTACAATTCAAGATACAAGTTTATCGTTTATTAAAATCTAAAAATCAAAATCAAGAACCTTCTTCAACCATGTCAATACAGTTGGACTTATGGAAGGAGAACCCTATATTAGTATATGAGAGTAATATGCTGAAATTTGATTACGAATTACAAAATACAAATACTTTATTCGGAATACCTTCGATAGGAACATTTTCTAATTTATTTCCGAATGTGGATCCAAATCTGGAAGATGTTGACGTGCTCGTTCGAATTCGTATTTATAATAATAATGTCACAAATAATATGATTACTCCATACACCGCCTATTATCAAAATGATTTTGCTCATCCTGAACCAATCATCAAATCCCCTGCCTCTTTTGAAAGGTTCTTTGATAATGAGACTTATTATGATGTGGCCTTCACCTTTGATAATGGTATGCACAACATAAAAGCTCATCGTATAATATTATCTCAACGTTCCGAGTATTTCGAAAAATGGTTGGGAAATGCTTGGACTGGTGATGGGAATATGAAAGTTATTCCAATAAAAGAGATCCCTTTTGAAGCGTTTCGTACAATTTTATTTTATTTATATACTTTAAGGCTTCAAGATGGTTTGGATTTTGATGTGCTAAAGGATATTTATTCGAATGCTGATATGATGAGATTAGAACAATTAACTCAATTGGTTGCTGACCGTATAGTTCATTTGGTTACCCTTGGGAATTGTCATCAAGTGTTGGATTTGGCTTGGAATTCGAATAGTTACACCTCAAAAATTATATTAAAAACGGTTGCTTATGATTTTATATCTAAGAATTGGCAAACATTACGATCAACTGAGAACATTAGATACTTAATCTGCAACGCTCCTTCTATGGATTGTATTGAAGAATTAATGGACGCTAAAATTTTTGGTGTTAGCAAATGATTAAAACTATGTTATAATCATTATTAAAAAAATCTTTTGAATCAAGCGAAGGGCAAAGCTATTTCAAAAACCAAAAATAGGTAACATTACAATGATTATTAAGATTTTCCAATTTGACAAGACGGCTGATCTTTACGGAATAACTTTATTAATATAATATATAGTTTATGAATAAGCATTCTATTCCACCTTTTTTTTTATTTGGAAATTCTCCAATTTAAAGAAAGATTGATCTATTTTTTGAATGTTTGATAAGATAGTACTGGAAGAGTTCCGAGTTATTCTTCAACGGATCTCAATATTGATTACTTTAATATCATCATATGGCTTATCCATTTTGTCGGTCTTGGAGTTTTCGATGGTGTGAATCACATCCATACCGGCAGTTGCTCTACCGAAAATTGTGTGTTTATTATTAAGCCATGGCTAATTAAAAGATATTTGGTAAGTATATTTGAGGGTTTCCGTATTAGGATTAGTCCGTGTAAAAAATTTTTCCTTTACTTACTGTTGGAACAACCGTAATGAAAAATTGTGATCCATTAGTGTTTGGTCCAGCATTAGCCATGCTTACGGTATATGGTCTATCGTGTCGTAAATCTCTATGAAATTCATCCTCAAATTCATTTCCCCATATTGACTCACCTCCGGTACCATCCCCTTTTATCCAAAAAAAAAAAAATTAAATTAAAAATCATTTAATTTGTATATAGTTACATTAAAAATTTTTTTTTTTTTTTACATGTACATTTTTTCATTCTCATTTGTCATAGATTTTTCCCTTTTTATTATATTATTCCTACCTAATGGATCTCCAGTTTGAATCATAAACCCTTTGATAACTCGATGGAAAATCACATTGTTATAATATCCATTCTTAGAATGGGTAACGAAATTTTCAACAGCTTTTGGCGCATACTCGGGAAATAATCTTATATGGATATCTCCCGAGGTTGTACGTAATATAGCAGTATTGCCCAATTTTTGTTTAGTAGGTTGTGCTGATGCTACGGTTTGTTCTTCCCTTGTTGGTTTTTCATTGTACACATCTCTGTCTCCCTTATGTGATTCGTGACTATTAAATAGATAACATTTATAAATTTCGTAAATATAGTAGTTAGCATAACCATGTAACATATTTCGCAATAACTTTTAAAATGTAAATTATAATAATTCATTTGAAAACAACTTTTTGTTAAATAAATTTTATACTAACGCATCTGGTTCGCGTTTTGTAAACATAAAAAATCGATTCCTTTTATATGCTGTACAAAACAGTGTTGGATCCATCGATTCGCTTTCCCTCACCAATGGATTGTCTGATGCTGCCATTTCCTATCATTTTAAATACAAGCGTATAATTTTGAGGATTTTGTTTTTTTTTTTTTTAAAAAAAAAAAAAAAATTTAATAAAAGAAAAACTTTATCATTTTAATGTTATCACCATTGTGATGAGTGCTTTCTTATTTGGAGCCCCTTGGTATAATGACATGTTAAGAAAGCGATTTGGTTCCGTTTTTCCAAGTAATTTAACAACTTTATTTGTAATTAGATTAATAACTAAAATAGAGAAAATAAATAAATAAGAAGGGAAATCGGATTTTAATAATAAATATTTCCGTGGATTTACTTCATACTGCTAACCTTTGACGCCCAACATTGTGGGATAAATAATAAAATTACCGCTCTCGTCAAAAACTACAAATGTGCGAATGTTTTAATATTATGATTGATGAGGGATAGAATTGACAAAATGTATTTAACGCACCTGCATTCATTGTGGAAGCTTGTGAAGTCTTTTCCAATTCACGTTCTACAGCGAGACGACGTCCAAATTCCATATCGTCTAATTTATATATAGTAGTACCAGCCTATTATAGGAAAAGTAACACGTAAACATATATATATAAAATAAAAAATCCAAATTCACCATAAATAATATAATGTACCTGTTGCATTTCACTTATAACGGCTAATGACTCATCGTATTTTCGGATCATTTTTCCAGTTTTAAAACGGAAAACGCGTACCTGACGATCTCCAATACTCATTGTTACAAATTGATTATAATCAGAAGAAAACTTTATTGAAGTTGGATGTGTTTTCGCTTTTTTGAATTCGTAAAGGTCAGTATCTGACTTGAACTCAAATGAAACAGTTTTGGGTAAACCAAAAGGTTCTTCCGGTACCCAATATTCCAACATTCCTGATGTATCTGCAGAAATAACAGCATGGTCCTTCTCATTATACTGGAAAATTTAATGCGAATTAATAAGTTGATTTATCATCGTATTAAAAAATCAAATTTAAAAATATCAAATTGAATAGAAAGCTTACTGTCATTAAGTGCACCGGATGGGAATGCAACTTTGGAACATTATATAACGGGCTTCCATCACCTCGACCATCATAAATAAAAATACTACCAGCCTCATTTGAACTAAAATCAGAAAAACAAAATTAAAATCTATTACGTGATCACAAAAGTTGGCTCAAACCAAGGATTACCTTGCTAATAGCGACTGAGCTTGACCTCTTTTATGAACCCAACATATACTATTTGGCACATATTCCAATTTCATCATGTTAATCATATCTGAAAAAAAACTCGTTAGAATTATAATAATTATAATGTACAAATGTATCTCTAAATAATGTTGTTAATATACACACCGAAATTGATTACGTCAAATACTTTTAATGCTTTATCTACAGAACCAGTTGCTAGTAGTAGTCCATCCGCAGATACACTAATACAATTGATATTACCTAAGAGAATAAAATTTGATTATGTTGATCATGTTAAATAGCATCCAGTAAGTAAGCAACAATTAAAATCAAATAACACTATTTGATACCGATATGTGCACGAAAATGCTTCACAAACTCTATTCCTTTATCATTCTTTTTCCAAAATTTCAAATGTCCATCAACTGATGTTGTAATTATAAAATCCGTTCTTAAAATAATTAAATTACACTTAATACACCGAAATGATAAGTTTCTTTAAATCATAAATAAATGAAATAAAAAATACTTTGTGACAGCTACGAAATTCAAAACATCGCGATGCATATAACTACGTTCATACATATCAGCCGAAGGTAAACGTTCCAAATAAATTCGTTCGTGAAGTAAAACTACGTATTATTGAAGTTTGAATTATTCGTCTAAATACACCAGAAAGATATTACAGATTTGAAAAATAAGCAATGCAAGTAAAATCTTATTATCAAAACCTCGTTTTTTCTTTTTTGGCGCCTCATCGGCCGTTGGTAAAGCTGGTCCGATGTCAGCATCGTCTATAAATTATAGGTTATGTTTCATAATCAGTAACGTTTTTTGCGATAATAAACTTGAAAAGACAGGAATTTAAAATGACAAAAAAATATTGCGGAGCTACAATAAATGCTAATCAGGAGAATAACTAAACATACCTTCTTCTTCCTGGACTTCTCTTTCATGTTTGCTACGAGTCCCTTGATCTGACATTTCGTTGTAAATTTTTTTGGATAGTTCACGTAGCACGTGAATGAAGTTGAATAAAAGATAAACAATATGAACCAAATTAGGTAATATGCACACGGGCAGCCTACCTTAATAGTATAAAGCATTAAGTTATGTCGAACTTAGTTTTCACAAGGAATTTAGTTTTACAAAATGTTTTACGATTTGAATTTACCCTATCCTACGCAGCCGGATATGGCTTACCAACAGACTGAATTTCGTAAAAGAGTAAATTTTCTCATCAAATGTAAATTTCAGCTGTTCAATTCATTCGAGCATTCCAATTATTTTGTTTTAAATAAATTACACGTAAATTAACTTGATTACAAATTGACATCAGTTGGATATCAGGTTGTTGCATATAATCATGTAATAAGCGGAAAATTCAATACAAATAAAGTAAGAAAATTTTCTTGTTTTATTAAAAAAGCGTCTGAAAATTTATTTCTAGTTTTAATTGATATTATATAAAAAGCATATTAAGCAAATTATATTTTTACTACAAGAGATAAGTCCAATTCGCAAATTAGAAATTGATAACTTACCTTCAGGCTTACCACCAAAGATCGAACAATTGACACGCGTCACAGTTGTGATAGAAGATGCAAGTCAGAATTATGGATTGGTAAAGATTCGACTTATAAAGCTTTCCTACATGTTTTCTAAAAGTAATGAACAGTTATAAATTACTTTAATGGTCTTCTATACTTAAAGACATCTGCAAATAGCGCAACCTCATCTTATGATATTGTTGCAGTTCAACCAACTAGTGAAAAGATATTCCAAAATGCTTGTGGTACTTATGAAATAGATATCATATCACTTGAGATGGGATCACGTCTGCCATTTTACATAAAACATGGACCTGTCGGATTAGCAATTGAACGTGGCATATATTTTGAGATTTGTTACGCTCCTGCGATAAGAGGTTCGTTATCAAGTTAAATTTATAGTCTTTCTATTATACTCAACCTTAGATTCAATGATTTTTAGATGCCGCATCGCGTCGACATCTTATAACTAACGCTCAGAATTTGGTTAGAGTAACACGTGGAAAAAATATAATAATTACCAGCGAAGCGCAAAGAGCAATGGAATTACGTGGTCCATATGACATTGTCAACTTGTGAGTATTAGATTGTTGCGTTATTTGTGAATAGCAATATTAATGCAGTTGTTATCTATTATTAGAGGCACGATAATGGGGATAAATCAAGCAATGGCAAAAGAATGTATATCAACAAACTGTCGCGCTGTAGTCATGCATGCGAGTGGGTATCTATACGTTATGTTATTAATGGATGCATCTGAAAGTCACTATTATTAATTTTGTTCCTGATTATAGCAACGCGTAGAAATACACATCGTGCAGTTATCTCTTTTGAACCTATTTCTTCATTAAAACAAAATGAGATGTGGAAGATTGGGCATGATGAGAAAGTTCTTACCGAAAAAATGGATTTCAAAGGCATATCGAAACGAGTTCGTTTAAGCAATGATGATGAAAATGAAGTTGAACAATTGCAGGATATGGAAATATGACAGTATTTCTTTGTAATTTTCAAATGATTTCATAATGACTTAACAAAATAAATCTTTTTTTTTTTCGTAAATGGCGCTCTAAAGGTAGGTTAATATTAACATAACTTGATTTCATGATCCTAAGAATTGCGAACTCGTTGTTATCAGTTACTTTTGATATCATTACAAAATTTTACCATTTTTTTAGTTCAGCTATACGGTTTTTTATAAGATATAAATATTAAGTAATTTAATATAATAAAAAATCAAATTATTATAAATTAAATTTATAATTTACCTTGCAATTAATCATCATACCAACAAAATATTTCTTTATAATTTAATAATAAAAAATTATTATTAATTTAATAAACTTAAAATCTTTAATATCAAATTATATTTTTCATGTAATAATTTTTAAAAACGTGTAATAAAAAAAATAATTAGTCGGTATTTTATTTAAGGTTTAATAAATTATTTAATTTAATTTAATATAAAAATTTACCAAATAAATTAATTAACTATTGATATAAAATTAAATTCAACTATTTGATTATCATGTTTTGTTTAACATAATAACAATCATTATGATTTATAATTTTAATCAAACTTAGAAATAAAGTTTTCTTTATTTTTTCTTTATTGATTAGATATTAAAATAATTGATAAATTTTGCTAAAATTTTAAAATAAAAAAATGTATAATTTGCAATTATTTAATATAAAATAGAAAATACATTTGAAAAGAACTTTGATTATATCTATAAAATTATCATAATAGCCACTTTATCCTTTATTTCTTAGATGAAATCACTTATATAAGTAAAAGTTATCTAATATTTGATTTATTAAGACTACTTTGATAAAAAATTCAGAGAAAGAAAAAAGTTGTATAAAAATATAAAGTATTAAAATATTTTTTGATAAAACTAATAATACTTAGATTATAAATAATTATTAATTATTTAAGATAATATCAAATAATAAATTTTAATGAAATTTTTGCTAAATTAAAAAATTGGCATTAATATCTATTAAAAAATTTAGATATATATATAATTTATTACATAACATTTTTTAATAATTATTTTAATAAATAAATTAAGAAAATAATTATAAAATAATAACTTTTAAAAAAATATATTATATATAATTTTTATTAATTTTAGCTAAATTATTATTATCAAATAATATAATTTAGTAATATAGATCTAATCTAAAAAAAATAATTTAAATAATTTTTCTAATATTATTTTAATTTATTATAAATAACTAATGCTATTTTTTTATATATGATAACTTTCTCTTTGATATTGATTCAATTTTTAACAAAAACTAATTGTATATCATCTTAGACTAAAATTAGGTATATTTTGAAAAAAAATTTTTTGAGAGAGTTTTTTTATTATTACGTATAAAATGAAAGTATTTTAGAAAACAAATAAGGTGAAATCATCATCACACTCAATAATTTCTAAATCTGAGAAATCATCAGATATTATACAATTATTTGAAAACTCACTTCTAGTATTGAGAATAATAATACCATTAGTGAAAACATCTACACTAGACTAATTACTCTTATACTTCTCTTCTTTTCACAAAGTATAAATATAATTAATATCACTATCAATAATCACTAGCTAGTGGTTTAGATGAGAAATAGAATAGGATTTTTTTAATGTAAAATTGATATATCAATAGTAAATTTTAAACTAGTTATTATTTTTTTATAATTGTAAATAATAATGATTTCATATTGTTACTTTATAAGTAATAGATAGTATATTAGTAAATATATATTACAATAAATATATAAATAAAATATTATTTTTTATCGAAAAATTGTATTAGTTAAAAATCATTTAGGCAAAACTATTTAAAAATAAAAAGTAATTTTATTATAAATTGGCTGACTAGGCTGAAAAAAAAGCTAAATGCTTAAATATTCAGATATATAAGTATTTAACATAATTGCTTTTCAATTGTTTTGTGAACTCTTATCTATTATAGTCTTACTAATTATTTAAAGAAAAGAAAACAATAAGTTAAATTAGCTAATAAAAGAATATTTTATTGAAAATAATTATTCTAGAATAATAGTATTACACGAAAGAAGACATGGATGATAATGATTTAAAGGATAACGTCGATCCCTAAGAAATCATATATATCTTCTATGTTATCTATGTCATCTATAGCATATATTTCTTTTATACAATATATTCTTTTATTTATTTTATCTTATTCATCTCATATATTTATTATATTTTATTTATTTCATATATTTTATTTATTATATTTATTTCTTTTATATCTTCGATAACTTTATATTTTTTTTTTATATAAATAGAGGACAATTTCTTTTAGCTTAGCAGTGTGTCTGACATATAGTTTTATATAATAGTTTAGTTTAATCCCTCTAACATGATTGTATAGTACAGAGTGTCGACTGAGGTAGTACTCCATTGTTATAATTATTAAATAAACTGTTAATTTACCGACACTTTTCTAAATCTAAATATCAAATTAAACTTTCTGCTTACCACCCATAAATATTGCTTCGCTTATCACTTATAAGCATTTTAAAGAACTGACCGTAATAATAGTATATTTTTATACGTATAACAAATAAACATAAAAATATAAAAATATAAAATATAGCTGAAGATGCTATGCATAATCTATGACATTCTATACTATTACAATTTTATTTTTAAAAAGTTAATCTTATCTTGTGTAAGAAATAAGATCATATCTGCAGAAAAAGAATGGACTTTATAAATTTTATTATCTCTTATAAAATTAAAAAGGTTGTATATCTTTCTTGCCTTTTCTCTATTTTTTTACTAATGTTAAAGGTATATCAGGTAGAAAATATCTGTGTATTTCTTCATTTAATTTTTTTTATGCTCTTTTCTACCTATTTTTCATTAAATTAAGTCAAATTCATAATAGGAATAGATTGTCTGAGATTTTATTTTGCTAAGTTTTAACATATTTTACAGAGAAGGTCAGATAGCTGTAAATTATCATCATTTATTATAGTAAATCTATTTATAACTTATGCAAGAGAGCTAATAGGTTTTGTTCTTTACACATTTTATTAAAATCAAGTTGCTCATTAATGTAGTCTAAGTATACTAAACACTGTTCAATGCAAAATATAGATTTACAATAATATCTAATGTGAAAATCATAACTATACAGAAACAAAGTAAGCGGATTTATAATATTTTTTTTACAAAATTCAGCTCTCTGAAGAGATCTATTAGAGAAAGATTAAGTTTCATTTTATAGATAAATTTAATAGAAGTAACATGACAGATTCTTAGGATATCATAAAAGATATAAAGAATTAATGTTAGCCTATTTATACTTATAATATCATAATAAGGGATTAATTAATAAACTAGTCTAAAAAATAAGCGTAAACTTAACATATCATATGAGTTTGTCACTAGT